GGACGCAGTTTATACTAAGGATATGCCCCACAGTGGTGGGAACAAAGACTGAAGTGTTTTTAAAGCAGAGCTCCGTGAAGAAATCTGGAGAGCCAAGTAGGAAGTGAGATGAGCTGCCATGATAACTTTTAGAAGTCTCTGTCCGCCCATTGTAATTACTCAACCCAGACCATTCCTGTGGGTTCAAACAGCCAGTATTTATTTGCAGGAATCCTGGTGGTGTAGTGGTTAAGTGTTCAGCTGGTAAGCAAAAGGCTGACAATTTGAACCCACTCAGTGGTTTTGTAGAAGAAAAACCTGGAGATTTGCTCCCATAAAGATTGTTGTTGTTTTCAGATGTCGTCTTGTTGGTTCTGACTTGTACTGACCCTATGGACAACAGAACTAAATACCAACTGGTCCTGGACTTCACAATTGTTCTGCTTGAGCCCATTATTGCTGTATGGTGTCAATACATCATGTTGGGGGTCTTCCTCTTTTTTAATTGACCCTCTATTTACCAAACATGATGTCTTTCTCCAGGGACTGGCCCTTCCTGATAACATATCCTATGGGACAGTTCTACTCTGTCACATGGGGTTACTAACTTGAAAATCAACTGAACATCACCTAACAACAACATTTTGTTTCATTGGCCACGCTCATGGGGATACTTTGTCTAGAGAGGATTGTCTCTGAACTTGTCCCAACCCCTCATTTTAGCTAATGGACAAGGTCCTGGAAAGAGGAAACTTCATTTGGAGTCAGATAATTAGGAGACTGACAAAAAAGTCTTCCAAGACAACTAACTTTCCATATATATCAAATCTTCCTAAGAGTAAGATGGAAAAAGCATAATGTCAACATCCTAATTCAATGCAGATTTCCTGATTTTTCAGAAAATAAAACCACCTCTATCAAATATAAATAGTTTTAAACTCTTACTGTGTTTTAAAATTTACCTGTGTCTATATCTAGCCTTCAGTTAGTCATTGTCAAGGTTTGCATTTATCCAGAAGCCAACTTTGAGATAACGAGTGTATGTAGTTCACTTATTTGGGCAGGTATGACAAGAATGGTAAGACTTTGTCTCATGTATTTTGAACTTATTATAAAAAGGGACCTGTCCCTAGAGAAGGGCGTCATTCTTAGTAGAGTAGAGAATCTGTGAAAAAGAGGAAGACCCTCAACTCGATAGATTGACACAGTGGTTGCAACAGTAGGCTCAAACCTAGCCCATAATGATTGTAAGGAGGGTGCAGGGCTGGGCAGGGTTTCATTCTGTTGTACATAGGATCTTGCTATGAGTCAGAACCAACTCAATGGCATGTAACAACAAAGTATTTCATTATTCCGTATGGTCAGAGCCTGGAAAAAATAATTCCAGATAAAACAGTTCTGCCCGGGCTATCAAACTGCAGTTTCTAAGTAAATGCCTTCTCATTTTCCTTCCGAGCCACGATTGTCACTCAGAGCATTGAAGTTGGAACCATTGGAAGTGATTTAGAGCAAATCCTGTCATTTACAAGTTATGAAATCCTGCTTTCTCTGGGATTCTAGCTCATGTCTTATAAAATGGTGACAGGGACACCTGTCAAATGTCAAATAGAGTAATATATCTTAAAACCAATTTGGAGTTCTGGTGTGGTGCTGTAGGATAAGCACTGGACCGCAAGGTCGATTTGAACCATAAGGTAGAAGTTCCAACTCACCAGTTGCTCCTCGGACACCCTATACAGGGTCGCTATGAGTTG